TATGGTTCTCTAATAATAACGTTGATTCTGTCAAAATCAACAACCGTTTGGCTGATATTCCGTCTGTAGTGGTAACATCTAAGTTTGGAAGGAGCGCAAACAAATATTGTACAAAATAGCGTCAATTCCAAAAAAAATTTAAGGTCAAGAACGAATCGTAAGATTGCGACTTCAATCACATTACCTAATTAATAGGGTTTTGGCAGAAACCCATGATTTAATGTTAAAAAATAGCATAAAAGAACTCTAATTCAAAGCTAAAGATGACGAAAGAACATGCTTGAGATAAAGAGAGACACAAATCGAACTGATAAGATCATAGAACAAGTTTTGAAGGTGAACCTTGAGGCTAACATGAGGTTCAGAGATCCAGACTCGAGGGAAGCGCAATTACAGAGTGAAGTCCGGTGGAGAATCGTTTACTTCTGCGTTCTCATCATAACCGTACCCATCCCTGATTAATGCTAATGCGGTGCTTCTTCTGGTGTCGTCCATCATCGGTGACACTGAAAATCGTGACTCGCAAAACCCTGTGTTCTATGATCTTATAAGTTCGATTTATGTCTCTTTTATCTCAAGAAACTTCTTATCAATTCCGTCTGTAGTGGTAATGACTAAGTTTGGATGGAGTGCAAACAAATACTGTACAAAATAGCGTCAATTCCAAAATAATTAAATTCAAGAACGAGAGTCATAAGAATGCATAAGATCCTGGGGATATCCATCGGGTGAATATGTCATTGGAGAGTTTGGATATTCCACGTCTTAGAAGCTGTGTGTAGTAGATCCGAGACCCGGAGCAATGGGTTCGATGTTCTAGTGTTGCTATGAGCCGACCGAGGCATAGTATTCGGAATCCAGTTGCTAGTCCACACCTGGGTACTTAAACCATTTCCTATGGGGCGACGAGCGCCTTAGATTCAAATTCGTTATGTAATGCACTTCCTCACATCTTATTTTGAAACAAATAAATTTAAGCAGTCATACAAAATTATTTTTAGTTTTATATGATAAAATAAAAATTATCGATTTTTTCGTCTAAAAATATCTTATTGACTTTCCATGTAACAATCTTGGTTTACAAAAAAAAAAATTTAAGAAAACTTTGACAATCATGATACAAAAACCATATATATGTATCTGTGTTCATTTACATTATGTTAAAGAATCTTTTTTTTTTCAACACTGTTATGTATCTTATAAAAACATTGTTACGTTATTAGTCTACATATGATAGATAATTATTATACATAGTTTTTTCAGCAGATTATTATTTCATAGATGATTTTTTTGTTTTTTTATCAACTTAATTAATATAGATGCATGTGAATTCGAACATAGAGGTTGATAACATCAGATCACGTGTGGTTTAAGTCTCTAAAAGTTGAGTACATCTAACTAGATGTGAGCAATTGATCAAATGAAATGGTCCATGTATTGGAAAACTCCCTAATATATATGTCTAAAGATTAAAATTCAAGAAAAATTCAAAAAATTAAAAGAAAAACCACCATATTCATCTAAATGCAAGTAAATGTGGTTCAAAAGATAAATCCCATGAATCCAAAAAACAGTGACCCTAACTACAAATCCATTCATTATGGTTTATTAACCCATCCAACCATATGTGAGTGGATCAAAAGAGGTGGTCCATGTATTGGAGAACTCTCTAACGTACTTGAAGATCATATACAAATAAAAAAGAATTTAAAGAAATCAAAGAGTTCTCTTTGTAACTGTATCTTGGAACAATAAGCTTCATCTTTCTGGCTATATTCGTGTTTAGATGAGTATGATGG